TGCATGTGTGCGTGTACTGCCATTTAAAGAGTTTCTGTAATATTTTTTAATGTATTTTGAAGTCTCTTCTGCTCACCAATGCTGCATTTATTTGATCAAAAATACAGTAAAAAAACTGTAATATTGTGAAATATTATTACAATTTAAAATAATTGTTTTCTATTGTAATATATTTAAATTTTCAGCATCATTACTCCAGTGTTCAGTGTCACATGACCCTTCAGAAATCATTATAATATGATGATTTGCTGCTCTAGAAACATTTCTGTTCATTATCAATGTTGAAAAAAAAAGTTCTGCTGGAAACAGAGATATTTTTTTCCAGGATTCATTGATTAATAGAAAGTAAAAAAAAAAAAAAAAAAAAAAAGCATTTATTTGAAATAGATCATTTTGTAACATTTTAAATGTCTTGACACTGACAGACACTTTTGTTCAATATATAATAAATATTACATATTAACATAAAAAGGTTATGAATGCTGTTATAGGTGTTGATAGAGTTGTATGCCACACCTTCATACCTTTTTCTGTATCAACAGACATTTAGACGTCTATGAAATGAAGGCGTCAGCTTCCTCATCAGCTAAGGAATATGTCAGATATATTGTAAAATAATCACTCCTGCAAACTCTGTCAAGTTCAGGCTGTTGTGCTTACTGGCGAGCCTCAACAGGTTATCGAATCTCAGCGCTCCTCAAAGTTTATGGCGTGGGTCTGTTCAGACGATGAGCATGTGATGAACGCCCCGTCCTCATCTTCATCATCTTCTGAGCTATTGGTTTATATCTTTATGAGACCTTCTCCCGCATGGACAAAACTGTCACTCATCACCTATTCCATAAATCATAATCTTTCTACACTTATCAACCCATTCTGTGGTGATGCACATGCAAGTTCAGCATGTTGACATAAACACACACACACATGCATACAAGAAATGATTCTTTTAAAAAATTCTTCTTATTTCTATGCGTTTGTTCATTTTGCAGCCTCTGGTTATGTATTTTACTGGGGTTGGTTTAGATTCAGTAATGTTAATCTCCAGCGTGTGTAGACGTGAGCGGCCCATCCCAGAGCCTCACCCTGTCTTATTGGCAGAACACACTCTTCTTAGTCATACTTGCCCAACCGCACAGGTATGTTACAGTGGTTAATCATTAAAGAGGTGCATCTGTGTGTGTGTGCGGAGAGTGATATCTATAGGCATGGGTCTGATTGTGTAACTTCTGTTCCTAATAACTACACACTCATTTAGTGCTCAGTGTAAGGTAGTTACACAACTCGTCACACTCTCCACTTCCTGTTGCATTGCTCTTTAGAGAGTGTGATGCTTTAGAGTGGCTGTTTGGAGAGGGTGTGGGATTCGATGAGGCATGCGGACAGACACACCTTCCCACTCACTTTCCCTGATTCCACCCCTTCTTCCTGCCTCGGCTCCACAAACATGACCATTCAGGGATTAGGCGGAGCCAAACATAACCCGAGGTGGCCTGCAACCACCCGCGTCTCACAAGAGTCAGAACGGCTCGAGAGCAGGCCCACAACCTGTAGCCTACTGACATCAGTTACTGGAGATAGAAAAATGGACAGCAGAAATTAAACGGGAACCTTAAGTCTTAACTTGCAACGTTCTGTTTGGGAAAGTGAGGAGGCTTGTAAAGAGCCGAGATTTGCGTCTGACAGAACTGTGTGTTTGGCTGTAAGCGTGACGTAGAGGAGATGAGTACGCAACAGAGACGGAGGGAATACTCGACCGACAGCCTGGACGGGGACAGGAGGGAGAGGATCCCCTCGGATGACTTGTATTATCAGGGAATGCTGAAATCCTTGGACGGCAGGAAAGGTACTCGGGACAGCTGTCTGACACACCTGCTCATGTGGGAAGAGACCTTTCTTTGTTGTACAAAATGATTAGGGTATGATCTTTGACACGTTTGTTTAGAGATGCGCGTCAAGCAAAGATCATCTCCTGAATCAGTATTTTCATACTGGTTTTAAAACAGAGATATTTTGAGAAGTGAAACTGCAAGATTTTAGGACTGATGCCTAAATCGAATACAATTTAGCACGGTTCAGTATTATACGATGTGCCAACAGGGTTAAAAAAATTATAATAATTCAGTAAAAAAACAAAAAAAAACATTTAAATTCTACTTGATTCTGATATTATATTAGAAGATCTCATTATGTAATTCTGAAGGATTTTATTAAAGCTGTAAACAGCCTGAGGGTTATCACTTGCCTTATAATGTTTGCAATCTGCTCAAGTGCCTTGCTTACAGTCTCTCTTTTCATTGTCAGTAATTTGTGCAATTTAGGTTTCAGACCTAAAGCTGTCTCTCCTGTCCAAGGCCATTGTGTCAATATTCATAGACGGCATATATTTAGCAGGATAAAGATGTGTTAATTGGGTCTGAGACAGCGTTCCCTGTTGTCCTGTCACCTGATCACCTGACTCATACAGTATGTCATCAGCAAACAGAGACAATGAGAGGTATACATGTCACTGCATAAAATATCAAGTACATTCAAATTGTATAGGAAAAATAGAGTGAATTCTCTTGTTAACCTCTCACATTCCAGAGGACAGGCTTAATCACAAGGGCGTTGGTTTAAAGATTAGCGCTGTAACGTTATACATCTCAAGGCAAAGAATGGTGGTCAGAGGGCAAAGGTCTGTTGAAGACCCCGTACTGGTGTTCATAATTATCCACACCATCGCCTACAGTAAGACTCTTCAAACACTAAAAGGGAAGTCTTGCATTAGAGGTCAAGGTTTATTGCCTCCACCCATGATAGTCACCATGGCTATATTATTGCATAATATGCTCATCATACTCCACCCAGCAGAAACAGAAGTTCTGCGGGAGCGTCTGAATCAGCTGTTCCCTCAATGCACAACAATAGATAGAGTCGTGCCGTTGCCCAGCAAACATCTTCCGCTCCTATATGGTATTATGCATTCGATTGTCCCGTTGAACGAGAACCCTGGAGCGTAATTAGACTGAGGTGTTGGGCTCCGACTGAACATCATGTATTCAGGGATGTACTGTTGTACTTTTCTCAACAGTTGTATTGTTTGATACGTGATTCATACAGTGTCGGTATCCTGTTAACAGTCAGTGTCCCGGTTGCTGGACACTTCCCACACATCTTTTATTGCCTTTATCACATGTTTTAGTAATACTCATACATTAGGTTTAATTCGAAAGTTTAAACACTCACAATCCTGTCGTCCTGTTTTGAAATTGGACATTGCACTACCATAGGTATAAGTTTTGAGGGACAAGTTTACGGTTTATGTCAAGTTTAGGCTTACATCCAGGGTTAGTGCTTCTACATCAGTGTTATCCACCATCATTTCCCTCTGACTTTAGGGATAACTCACGGATAGGGTTAGAACTACATTTTCTATCAGGAATGTTGTTCCAGGATGTCTTAATTGGTACAATTGGGGTAAATGACCGCTAACAGTCTTTCAGTCCTTGCATCTTCAAAGCAAGATTTGTCATCCTCATGATTCAAAATATGGATGGTCCTGTGCGCCTCATGAGAAGTGATGTCCATCGGTCCAGGTTTCTTCTCAATCCTGCATGCCTGAGAAACTGAAGCTGAGATGATTTGAGTTTACAGCAGTTTTCTTCTTGCACTTACTCCCAGATAGAGGTGTATCGAAAGATTATATCAAAGACTACCAGAAAATCTTTTTTTTTTTATTCTCATACATGGCATTTTGTGCATTTTTACAGTAACATTACGGCCACACTTTATATTTGGTGGCCTTAATTATCTATCTATTAGCATGTAATATGGATTTACTGTGCAACTACATGTTGTTTCCACATTTACTGCTAACGAGTTTGAGGTACGGTTAGGTTTAGATGTAAATGTGGGGTTAGGATTATAGGGGTTAGAGGTTTGAAGGCAAGGGTTGGGTTATGGTTATAAGAGGTAAAGTCTACTAAAGTCAGTGTTACTACAAATGCAAATTAAACGCAAGTACTTTAAATGTACTTAAGATGCACCAACATAATTAGGAAGCACAATTTATTTACATGTACTTATTATAGTAATTCTAATAACTGTGTTATAACTAGGTACCATACTAACCCTAAACCTAACCTTAGCCTTATATTACCAGTACTTAGGTAAGTACAATGTAAGTGCACGTACTGTACAATAGAGTGCAACTAGTATGTTTTAGCAGTTAAGGCCACCTGATGTGTGACTAACTTGACTAGCTAACACACTAACTTTAACCGCAAATGTGAGCATGTCATTTTTAAATACAGTAATGTTCTCCAGTAGTGATGACAGATGCATTTGTATGAGACCGCAGTATGGATCCTGTTCTCCTGTGTTTAACTGCTGGAGGAACATGATTCTGCAGGCTGTAGGTGTGTCTGTGGTGACGCACACTGAAGATTAAAGCTATTCTGCCTTCATGGTCAAATTTCCCAGCCTGAGGCCTTAAAATACATTTTCTTCTCTCCGAACCTGTGCTCCGTCTTTGCCTGACAATGGCGCTGTCTAGACTCCTCCTGCAGTCATTACTCTCCAGCTTTACCTGGAGATCTCCTTACTCACATGGCTGTGCCCGTGAGAGGCTGTTTAAATAGTGTGTAGGAGATGTGAGGGCGGGGCAACCTGTCACTCACATGAGATCCACCAATAGCAAACCACAACCATCCATTCAATTCCCAATGGACAAAATCAAGTCCCGACCTACATTTGTTCTTGTTTAAGAAGCTTTTTCACTTAGATCCATGTCACAATAAGGAAGAAAATACTATCGCAACTTCCATTTCATGCCGATTTTTGTGCCAACAGAGAATGAACCCACGAATGGCTTATTTAAATAACTTAAAATAGTATTCTAAAAATCCACAGTATTTTAACATTAATAAAAGGACACACTTAAATCCTTTCAGATCCAGACATTTCCTCTAAACACTGCTGAAGTGTGTTAAATGCTCTCTTTTCTTGCTCTTTTGCAGATGAACGGGACAGAGTGCAGAAGAAGACTTTCACAAAATGGGTGAACAAACACTTGATAAAGGTACATTTATGTTAATTTTTACTGTTCAAATTTGGTAAAGTTTGATTAGAATAACTAATCATTTTAACTGACAAATCCAATGCAACTTATACAAGTAAAATACAAGTATCATATAAGATTCAGTCCTCCTGAAGTTTAGGGACAGATGTACAGATTTACAGCTTGCTCCAGCGCAAACCCTCTTTTGGCATTAAAAATGACTGTCAGGATTTACTAAAGAAACGCAGTGAAAAATGAGTGTTGAAAAGCTTATTGAAGACAAGTAAACAGTCAGTAATAAAATAAGAACATTCGCATTTTGGGTTTGTGAACAGAAAAGCGTCTTTTAGAAACATATTTTTTTTATTTCTCTTTTAATTTTAGTTAAAGATTTAGTCATTTTGTTCTGTGTTTTTGTAATTTTTGTTCTTTTATATTTTTTATTCATTTTGATTTCAGTTTGAGGGTCCGTTTGCACGACAAACTAAACGTTTAAAAACGAAAAGCTTTTTATGTGTTTTGGCCGTTCGTTTTGGGGGCCTAAAAACGCAAATGTTTGAAAACGGGTTTCAAAGTGCAAGTTTTTGAAACCGATACTACAGTAGTCAACATTTGAGGTGGATCAAAAAAGTTCATCAAAGTTGTCCTAAGACAAGACCGGCTATTGTTCAAAAATCATGTATAACTTTGATGAAAGGTTTTGATC